GAGTGAAAAGGGATTAACACGATTAATTCGATTTGTTTCGTGCAGATGCGAAGCTCGTTAGAACGTTAAACGTACCCGTATTATATTTTATTATGTAGATGCATTAAATATACGAAAATGGTGGCCATGATACAAATATCATCGAGATATTATCGTTCGTCCATTTCTTTTTCATTCTGCTTCAAATAATTATATACAAAAAGAGGAAAATTTAAGAAGAGCAATTTATATTGATTCGAAAATCTAATTGAACGGAAAATAATAAAACACGTTCCATATTGTGCGTTATAGATAGATAAGTAATAAACTTTTCAAAAGTTTTATGAAATTTATTTAAACATTGGATTAAATTTTAGAATATATTTGTATAAGGAAAAATATCAACATGTTAAATTGGTATAAAAAAAAGATTAAAAGCTGTCTCTTAACGATTGAAATAATTATTTGAAAAATTTGATATTGAAAAATGGTTTCTTTTTTGTAATCTTTTTGTCATTTTAAATTCTTTTTTTCACTTGTGCTTAGATAAAATCAATTTGTTACATATAAATACTAATATTATTATCGTCATTATAATTATTATTAAACTATGAATGTATTTCTGCATTTATGAAAAATTTGAATCAAATATAGAAATCTACAGAAGCACAAAATATTCAAACTATAGCGCGTTATGGTATTCGAAGAAAAAGACAAATCACTATTTAAACTCCATTTTCTATATTTATGTTCATAAAAGTGTTTCTATTTTGTATAAACATTTTTAATTATTATTTAATATAATTTTTTCATTTGAATTTAATGTTTTATTGCTTGTAATGAATAATATTCCTTACACAATATGGAACATGTTTAAATACATTTAACACTGTCGTGGTTTCGTCTTTGTAATTGATGATACAGTGTGAAATACACTTATTGCATTAAATTGAAATTTACGCCATTCAACGAAGAAGGATTCGCGCGTAGAAGTGGACGTCGCGACGTTAAATTTCATTTCGGAATGCTTTCAGTGTGATTACGCACCAGACCATCAAATGTCTGTAGGCACGCACAATCCCCATTGTCCCGAGCTACGAGAGGGACCTGCAACTTCCGGTTCACACCTCGTTTCGTTCGTGATTGACGCGTGTTTGTAATTCGTTAAATTAAATTGTACAAATTTGAGGTTTTTCTAATTTTTGATAACGTTAAAAATTAATTATAAATTTATAGTTTTTTAAATATTGTGTAATAATATTTTATTAACCCCTGTTTGAGTTAAAATAACATGGTTTATGATTCAATTTATACCTATTGTTTTTTTTTTTAAAGTAATTTAAATTTTTAGATTTAAATTTGGAAGAAATTTTTATGCTATAGGTTTATTAAGCTAATAAAAAAGCAATTAATCTTTTATTTATGAAATAACATCATTATATGCATGTCTCCATTAAAGTCAAATTATGCAATTAAAGCTTTTATTATTCCTTTTTGGTAGTCATAATTACGAGAGTTAATTCGAGCAATTAATGCTATTGTAATTTTGGAGATGAAATCGTAATTACGTAAAACTGTTTCATGAGGACATGAGACAAATAATTGTTTCATAAATTCGATTTTTTATATCGACATTTATAATTTATTTTCATCGATTTATTTTATTTTTAATTGATTAATCGAAATGAAACGAATATGCGATTAAAAAAAAAAGCGAAATATCAATTTAATGAAGAATGTTAATTTATATTTTAATCATTTTCAATTATAAATAAATATTTAGAAACGCAAACATAAAATTATCATAATATCGTTATTAATTATACTTTTTTTGGATCATCTATCATTATTTTAAATAGATGTGATTTAACTCGAACGGAAATTGCAAAATTTTATCGCGATTTAATTTATTGATTTCATAATTAAATATCTGAAAATTAAACTCATGTGTAAAGATTATAATATATCGTGTTTTTAAAATTATAGAAATGAAATTTCCTAGAAATTTTATTGGTTACTTAATCGAGTACCTTTGTATTATCGAAAATTATAGCATTATCATCCCTGGTTTTATCCACGAATTTATAAATTTATTTCGATTTATCGATATATCGAATTTAATTCGATATGAGTTGTGATTAATAAAGAATAAAGATTTTTAAACCAGTTTATTTTCAAAAAATATTTTATATATTACTCAGTTATCTGTAAAAGACAAATATGCAAATGAAATTGCTTCTAAATCTATTCTATTTTTCTTATAATTCAATTGCATAAAATTCTTTATACCAATTCTAATCAAATGAAAAATTTTTCAATCCTTTTATCGTTCATCCTTTCTTTCAATTATCAAATTCTTTCAATTATCAATATCTTCAATATCTTTAACAGGAATACGATAATAACTCGACAATATTAATTAATGACAAAAAAAAAACAATTCTAAGAAGAATTAAAGAAACAACTTTCTCGCGATCAGAGTACAGTCATTGAGAACTTCCGTGTGGTCGAAGAACGCAAGTTGTAAGCAGGATATAATCACGTGATCGATGATCAATTGAGATGCTTCAAATCTCATTCGCAGCTCAACGGAACCCTTCGTTGCGGACATATCGAAGATCTTTCAAGAATTCGGATTCGTGTCTGTACGGAAAGCAGGGGTTGTCCAACTTGGCAGTTTTGTCTTCTGTACATCTCTCAACGTCAACCTCCACCGAATATTATTCTATTCGATCGCCCTTATTTTCTATTATTCTAAAAGGCAAACTTTTATTCCTCCGTTAAAAGAAACATTATCAAATTAATCATAGTTATTAAACGTGATACCATCGAGAGAAATTTGATTATTTTTTCTTTTTTTTTTTCCCTTTTTTTTTTTTTTTGCTTTCTTAAATATGCTTATGCACATTGTGTATTCATAGTTCGTCGAATCCTACTCGAATTGCAGCTTACGTATCTAACTGTGAAAAGGTTGGACACCCCTGTCTCGTAGTTTTTTTCTTGGTTTTTTCTTTTTTTTTTTTTTTTATTTGGCAGTTATATAAAGACCGTATCAGTTCCACGAGAGACCCTTAGTGGCGCGATAATGTTCTCGATTCGATCGTACACAATAACGCCCGCACACAAAGCGATTATAATTATTATTATTATTATTATTATTATTCATTTGTTATTAACATATGTAATATTATTAACAATATTATCATCATTAGCATTATTCAATCATTATTATTATTATTATTATTATTATTATTATTATTAATTAATTAAATTTACTATTAATATTATTTATATCATTAGTCATTACGATTATTATCGTTACCATTATCATTATCGTTATTATTATTGTTATTATCATTATTACTATTATTGTTGTCCTTCTTCTCCCTTCCTATCGTTCGTGTCTGTTAACTATTGTTACTGAAAGGCCGCGACAACACTCTCTCGAGGAATGCGCGCACAAGCACAGCTTTCCCCAAATAGCCTCGACGAACGAATCGATGCTCCTCCTCGCTCGAGAGACGAGGACGCGCTCTTCTTGCATTATAATTTAAAATTATAAGATCGTCGTACGACACCTTCGAGCGTGTGTCGATCACCTATCCGCTGAGTGTTTGATACTAGATAGATAGATAGATAGATAGATAGATAGATAGATAGAGAGAGGAAGATAGCGACTGCGCTCGATTAGGTTTAAACGATTGGGAGAGAGAAAATTGGGTTTTTAGCCGAAGAAAGTGAACGCACAACGTGGCCGTGTATTGTCAATAATGTGTAACGTGTCGAGGCGCTTTCTTTGCCCTCCTCTAAGTCCCTTTTCTAATCGCCAAGTCCTCCGGTTCTTCCGGCTCGGTTCTTCCACGAAAAGCGGGGAGCCGCTTTCTCGTTTTTAAACGTGTGCTCGAAGCGTTTGAAAAATTTTGGTCGGTCAGCAAGAACCGAACGAACGACGACGACCTCTTCCGCCTCCTCTTCCGGCCTCTTCACTCTTGCTTGTTCCTCCCCTTTCTTTCTTCGCCTCTTCCTTCCTTCTTCCTTCGTCGAAACTGGAAGCACGTCTCGCACGTAGTATTTCTCCGCGTGCAATCACTCCGTTCCAGACTTTTCTTCTTCTTCTTTTTTTTTTTTTTTTCGGGGAAGAAAACGGAGAACAGAGAGAAGAAGAGAGAGAGAGAGAGAGGAGGAGAGAGAGAGGAGGAGAGAGAAGAAGAGAAGAGAGAGAG